GGATTCCCAGCTTTATGCACTTTGCATCACAGAACCACCCAGCTCAACAATGCAAGCTTGTTAGAAGCAGCATAAAGTGCATGCTGGACATGAGGCTACAGAGCCATCAACAATCCAAAGCAAAAGAAGAAGGATCCATGGTGGCAGTCACTGTCTTGAACCATGCACACAGCCATGTTAGTGACAGCATGAGAAAGCAGTGAATCCTCCTTCAGCATGTTGTGTGCATGTGGACTCTAATGACCATGGACACAAACACACACACAGAGTGACACATGCACGCACACACACGCACACACACACAGAAACCTTTATCACCTTCTTCACCATTGTGTCTATTGAGAACAGGTCAGACCTTTCAGCAAGTCATAACTGCTTGGATAGACCCAGGGCAGGACACTGGCTCAGGGTGTGTGCTGCGGGTCAGTGGTGGGGAGGGGGTCCTGCTCATGGGAGGGACTTGTGTGGAGTCAATGTGCTACCTGCATCGAAGGAGGGAGAACCCGTGGGTTCTTGTTGGATTTCCCATGTGTGAGGCAGGAGGAGAAGAGAGAGGAATGAAGGTCAACAAGCTAGTCAGCAATAATCCAAAGATATCATGTGGTGACAAATTCTATTAAACAATATGAAAACAGCAAGAACAAAAGAAAGAAATAGCCATTCTAAGTAGAAAATGGTATGAATCCTTGGAAAATTAGAAGAATAATCCATGGAAACCTCACAAGTAAAAAGATAGGGATAGAAGCAGACCGAGTTCTACCCAATGTCTGCAGTGGAAGCTGTCCACGCCCCAAGGTCTACAGGTCGTTCTGAACGTCTTATGTTGGCTGTGTGCATGCAGAGACCAGAAGCTTCTACTGAATCCATGAGAATCCTCAGGTTGAGCTTCTTGATGGGAGGAGCCTTCCACCTGCAGGGACTAAGTAACTGATCTTTCAGTTGCTGATATCAGGTCAGTGTGTATGACCTCTCCCATCCCCATGTTGAACGTAATGACAATGTGATGGGAGGAGGAGGTGGGGCCTTAGGGAAGCACTTAGGTCAGGAGGGTGTAGCCTCATGAAAAGATTAATGCTTTTATACAGCAGGACTGGGAAAGATCCCTGCCCCCTGACCCCATGTGAGGTGACAGGGAAAGGACACACTAGTATGTGGGTGCTCTCTGGATACCAAATCTGCATGCCCCTTGAACTGGGACTTCCCAGAAT